GCCCCTGGAAGGGCATTTAAACCTGAAAATAAAACTCAGTAACTCAAGTCATTATGTGAAGACCAATAAGCAAAAATAATACCTAAAAATATACGAACTTGAGTTACAGATAAGAACTGTGTCATACCTTTGAAAGCAATCCACTCACATCTCATGCTGCTCACACAGTCTGTCATGGGGAGGCTACTGGAGAGGACAAGAGGGAAACCAAAGCGGGGTCCTGCATGCAGGGCATGTAAGATGCATAAATGCTCCATTCTGAGGACTACACTGTCCCTACTATGACAGTTGCACAGGGCGACATCCAGGACCAGGAAGTGACCGGCCCTATGATCAGAGAAGGTTCATACTGAGGCACCAGCTTGCGGAGGTAAGGATGGAGAGGAATCTCTGTAAAGTCTCACCTCTGCCATCATCAGCCATCCTATGGTTTTCTACTTACGGCCTCTTCCAATTTATTACTTCTATTTACCAGAAAAAAAAAACTCCACATGATGACCAATCACACCATCTCTGATAAGAGTTCAAAACCTAGCATATAACGTCTTCCCAGGTATGCCAAAATGTTCCCTCAAAAATTTTTTTTGTTTACTGATTCTGGACATTTCATATAAATAGAAGCATACGATATGTGTCCTTGAGTGTCTGGCTTCTTCTTGTATAATGTTTTGAAGGCTCTTCCGTACATCAGTACATCATTCCTGATTATGGCTGAAGAAAATCCCGTTGTATGGATATACCACAATTACTTTATCCATTCACATGTTGATGGACACTTGGGTTAGTTCCTTCGTTTGGGTAGTATGATCAGTGCTGCTATCCATAAAGACAAAAAGCAAATCGATGGTTACATAGGCTGGGAGAAGAAGGAAATGTGGAGTGACGGCTTGATAAGTACAAGCCTTCCTTTGAAGGTAAGTGCTTCGAAACTACACAGATATGTTGGTCACACAACACTGTGAATGTACTAAATGCCAATGAACTACACATTTTTAAAATTCTATGTTATATAAATTTCACCTCCATTAAAATATTTTTTTTTAATTTCAAGGCAAAGCCTCCACCACCACCTGCCTAAAATGTGGGTTAAACTACAAATAGAGAGTGTTATATATTTTTAAATAGATTGTCTGTAACATGTAGGCCATCCTTCAAAGTCAGGGTTGTAATGATCACATTACACACGTGTTCTCAAGATAAACGAAAGAGATCACAAAGACAGAAAAGAATTTCGCTTCAAGCAGACAGAACTCATTACACACATGTTCTCAAGATAAACGAAAACTAGTCCTCAGGTAAAAGGATTTGACAGCATCATTTGTCACATGTGGCTCATCCTAACTTTACCCGGCAACTGGGGTCACCACCTGTGTTAGCTGGTAGGTTTTATATAAAGCTCCTCTTGGGTGCCTGGGTGGCTCAGTAGGTTAAGCAACTGCCTTCGGCTCAGATCATGATCCTGGAGTCCCGGAATCGAGTCCTGCATCGGGCTCCCTGCTCAGCAGGGAGTCTGCTTCTCCCTCTGACCCTCCCCGTTCTCATGTGCTCTCTCTCTCTCTCTCTCTCCTTCTCTCTCTCAAATAAATAAATAAAATCTTTTAAAAAAAAAAACCTCCTCTTATCTTTATGACAGGAGGTGGTTTCGGAGTGAGGTGCCCACCAAAGTTAGGTTCCTAGCCTTCTAGAGAAACTGGGAAACAGGACTCTATGTTCTTTGGATATGTACCATCCAAAGATTCAGTGCCCAAGTCCTTGAGAAAGACATTCCAGGGCCGTAAAGCTGGCCAAAGGCTTATTTAGCTTTTAAAAAGATTTACTTATATTTCAAAGAGACAAAGAAAGAATGTACAATTAACAAGGTTTCTGAAGTAAATGCTCTAAGAAGAGAGAGTGGGAGTGTATGTGTCTTCCCTTATTTTCAACAGGGAGAATTAAGACTCTTATTTTTAATTTGTATTTGCCCTTACAAGCCTTCTCTGATCCCCTCAGCAAAAAGTAATTACTCTCTCCCCAGAGGTGCCTTTCTGTGGCACCTCCCACTTTCCAACCTTGAATTGAAGTAATTTCGGCAGGATCCATATCTGATTCCTTTCTTCATCCCTCACGGTGCCCAGCACGTCACACAGAGCCACCATTCAGGAAAGGCCCCAGACAACCAGAAGGAACTTTGTAGCTATGGAAATACTCTGATTCTTGATTATATAATGTCCATATGCTGGTTGCAATAATGTCCTATAGTTTTCTAAGACGATATCACCGGGGAATCTATTCTTTCCAATTGAATCTACAGTCACCTCAAAATAAAAAGTTCAATAAAAAAATAAAAAGGCCCTTGAATAAATAATCACCTGTGCATTATCAACCATCAAACACTAGTCACAGAATACGATAAAAAGAAATACAGACCAAACTACAGAGAAGAAAATTCACAGCTGCATTCAGGGGAAGAGTTAAGCAGAATTAGGGGATGCCTTTAGGAAACTGTGGGGAATATCTGTCAGGATGCTAGAAACTGCTGGGTACAGTGGAAAAACTGTGAGACGAGCCTAAATAAAAAACGTTAAAATTAAAAAAATTTAAAAAGAAGACAACAGAGATAATATCCAAGAAAGGATGGATCCAGGGGCGCCTGGGTGGCTCAGTCGTTAAGCATCTGCCGTCGGCTCAGGTCATGATCCCAGGGTCCTGGGATCCAGCCC